ATCGAGGAAGGTAGTGCAGTGCAGTTCCAGGGAGACTTAGCTTTAGAGCCCTTTTCTGGGAGGCTTGTCAGAGCTGAGTTAGTGGCTGTTGGTCTGAACTTTATTGTCACTGTTGAAGTCCTTATGTTTAGGGGCATTTGCACCCTTTATTTTTGTCAGTCCTAGTAAGTCCTCTATTACTTGCTTGAAACCTGTGTTTTTGGGAACACATCAAGAACTGAAGGGTCTGCATCAGACCCTCCTCTGTGAGGTTGTAGTACCTAGAGCTCATGCTACTAGACATTGAGAAGGACATGCTGCTCCTTTTCAGGATTGCATTCTCTCATGGATCCATAATTCAGCAAGGTGGTTATTGTCATGCCCTGAAGTTCACCAATCATGTTTACTCCTGAAGGAATTCTGTATGACTGTACATGCACAGAATTAGTGTTCCCTGCATATTTCTTTGCTTCCCCTCAGAAAAATGACTTCTGATGGGGAAGCAAAGGGAAGCCCAAAAGAGTGGTCACGTGTCCAACTTTCTGCTGGGATGGGGCAGAGGGGTGGGTAGTCATGCATGTGAGAGAAAGAGACACTCTGTCTGTCTTGCTTGTTATTGTAGCATGTTTGGTGTGGAAAGGCAAGACTTTGGAATGTTTCTGAGGAGGTGGGCTTGGCACAGAGAAGAATGTAGCAGCCTGTCTGCTTCGTGAATTGTTTCATTGTCTTTGTGAATTTCTCCAGGAATATAAAAGAGATGTAAATATTTTTTAAAGATTTTTTTACACTGCCAGAGTGGTGTAAAGGAAAGTATGGACTTATAAATGCTTATGGTGCTTTAGTGATAAGAACTGGTCTAAATTTGGGGTTTGAACAAAATTCATATTACAATGTGCTCCATTAATTGTTTGGCACTTAGCTTTCTGGAGATAGTTAATAGCCAATATAAATTGTGAGATCGATTCCTCAGCCCTCACTTACTCTTCAGTTGCCTATAATGTAACACTGAACATATGACTATATATTTGTTGACTAATAACCAGAAATAATGGGTCAAAACGTCACTACATTACTATTAGACAAATGCAGTTTGGAGATTTCCTCCAAAATGCTCTCACTCTCATTCTCCATCCATTGTATTGTAATTTAAATAAATTCAGAAAATAATTGAAACTGGTGTGGTTACAGTCCAATATTTTGTCAACTAAAATATGCAGAATTTATCAGAATTTTAAAATATTGTGTGCAGAATTTGTAATTGTTTGGTGCAGAATTACCCCCAAAGTAAATGCAAATTACAGAGCTTTGTGATGAAGATCTGATGGTATCCTATGGACCCAAGTTCCCAATTCAGAAACATGCTTAGCCTCTGATGACAGGACAAGAAGCAGTGAACTTAAATTGCAGCAATGAAAGTTTAGGTCAGACATTAGGAAAAACTTCCTAATAGAGTGGTTAATCATTGGAATAAAATTGCCTGGGAAGGTTGTGGAAACTCCAGCATTGGAGATTGAGTGAGTTAGACAAGTACCTGTCAGGGGTGATTTGGATGGTGCTTGACCCTGCCATGAGTATAGGGCACTGGACTTCTCAAGGTTCCTTCCAGTTCTAGTATTCTATGATTCTGTGCTTAATTTGAACCACATTCTCAGGCTTAAACACATTACTGTACACATGTGCTTAAGTGCTTTGCTGAATCAGGGCCCAAGGTTGACATCCTGGTGCCATGCAAGTCAATGGCAAAACTTTCATTGACTTCAGTACAGCCATATAAGATCACCATGTAACTTGCCATAATTGATGCAACACCTTAACTCAAACTCTTCTCATCTTGTAAAGCAAGTGTTTAAATCCTAAAACTGGCGCTCAAGCTTTTGGACTACAGAGAGTTGCTCTGGATAAAAAACAAATACCATTAAAGCAGAGAAAAGCTGCTTATCTGGTTTAGAAAATAGGAGCCTAAATGTTAATTTTCTGATCTGAGAACACTGTCACCAACTTAAGGTGGGAAAGCAGCACACCTTTAAATAGACCTCAAAACCAAACAAACATTTGGCTCTGCACTGGAACTTGAAGCACATCCTGCTGATCAGTCTAATTCAGGGATGAGGTGACATTGTTCACTGCAGCTCTCAGACACAACAAATAAAACAAAATGAATAAATAACACAGTTGCTGAATTAGAAAACCCCCGCTGTAGTTGTCTGGCAGTGTTACAACCCACTCACACAATTCTAACATTACATCAATAAAGCACTTTCATTGCTGTCCCACAAAAAATGAAACAGGGACCCTTCCCCTCATGGAAACAGTGAAGCTATGAAACAAGTAGTGAGGGTCATGCAGCACCGGTATAACAAAGTAATGTGCCTAGATAGCAAACAAGCCTTCCTTACTGTCTTTCAGCTCAATCATTTTTAAAATGTCCTGATATATGAATGAGGCAGAATTATGACTCGTGCATGTAAGAAAAACAAACTGTTATATTCCAGCAGTACATTTCATAAAGAACTTCTCTCTATGTAATTACAGCTTAAGATGTGAATAATGGGTTTATGGGCTTTCTGAATTTACCACTTAAGGGAGTTTAATCTAGATCTCCAAGATGTGTCGTGAAATGATAAAAAAGTCACATACATCTCCAAAGGAGCTCATTTTATTTAGTTAAAACTGATTCCTTAAATGAGCATCAAACCCCGGTTTGCTGCCCTGAACTAGGTGTGTCTAGACTAGAGGATAGATGATTTACTGCCACATTAGCGTGTGATTAAAAGTGATGAGACTGTAATATAGTACATTAGTCTAGATGCTATGGCCATGGAAGAACTCACCTAGTAATTACAAACTAGCGCCATGATTCTACTTCTTTGGGCATCATGGTTTAGAAATTACCCTAAGAATGTGATGTTTTCACAGGGGTTACTGAGATGATGCTGAGGCTGCTTTTTCATTTCATATCTTTTCTCAGTTGTATGTGATTTCCTACAGATTCTACAGATGTCTTATTGAGAGGGGGGGTTTCTCTTACTAAAGTTAATTAACACTATATCTGATTTGGAAAGATGAAAGACTTTTTTGTTGGCAAGCTATTTCTGTGGTATTGATCACTTCCTAAAGAGTTTATTTATCACAAATTAGGCCTGATTTATACATAACTAGAAGCCTTTCCTGGCATTACACAGGTCCTTCAGAGCAGGGAGCAGGCAGTGTAAGAGCTGCAGAAGTCAGGGCAGGGCCCTGGGGAAGTGGGGAGCTCTGGGCATGAGGCTGGGTGCGTGGGAGATGCAAGAGTGAGAGTTGGGGGTTAGGAGGTATGGTGGTGCAGTTGGGGTTCCCCCCAAATCCTGCACCCCGTCTGCAGCAAGGACAGACTCCACCAGCCAGTAGAATAGAGGGTTTATTGCTTCTCCAGGATAAAGCACAGCCTAGACGTGATATTGCTACAGGAGTCTGGGCCAGGATGCCTCAGATCCCTTGGGTTAGGGTGGTCCATCACCCCCCTAGACCTCCAGCCCCCAGGTTAGCCTCGCTCCCTCCTGTTTCCCCGCCAGCAACTGAAGCCTCCTGTTGGTCTCTGCCTCTCTCCCTTTGTCTCTCCCCCTGGGAATCCCCTGTTATCTCCTCAGGCTGAGCCCAGGTGTCTGGGTTAATACACATTTGGGTGAGTCAGTGGGAATCACACATCATAGCGCAGGGAGACCCCGCAGGGGGACAGAGCAGACAGCATCCCCACTATGCCACAGAAGGGGCTCAGGATAAGGGTTCAGGAGTGAGGAAGGACTTGAGGTATGGGATGGGGTGGCTTCTGGCTTCTCCCTGAGGGCAGCCCAGGGCAGCAGAGACTGAACATCCCACTCACCGGCTTGTCCCCAGGGACTAGTGGGGGGTCTCTCTTTCCCCCAACCATTCCCAGGGCAGGGGCCTCTCTCGCTCCTATCCTTGGCCCCTCCTGAGGTGAAGGGGGGCTCTCCCTCCACTTCTGGCCCAGCCTGAAAGAGCCCCTAGATGGGCCCCTGAGGAGGCTCTCTCTATCCCCCTGGTCCCTGCCAGAGCAGGAAGAGCTCCCTTCTTCCCTCCCTGGCCCTCCAGGGCGAGGCGGGAAGCAGGGGCTCTCTCCCTCTCCCTCTGTTTACACCAGAGTTAAATTTGGTGCACAGTGTTCATTTATTCATTTTAATCTTCCAGGCATTAAGAAGCAAACATATTTCAGTTTTTTAATTTCCCCACTTCAGAAATGCATATACCTCTATATATCTAGAAATATTTAATAAACAATGAATTAAAAATCTAATGATTTTTTCAATGCACAGTTGGGTATTTTTAAAATAATGAATAATATTTTGCCTGCTTTATTCTCAGCCTCTAGCAGGGTAATTGTCTTCTGAGCTAGGTAGACATGTTCCAATATAGAGCTTTCCAATGGAGGCTGTTATAGTATACTTACGTATAGGGTAATGTCTAGAAACCTGGAGAACTCTACTTCAGGAAGTGTTTGAAGAGGTGGGACTTTATCTTTCAGATCTGGCCCCCAGCTTACTTTGATCCTGCTTGCTGGGAGGTTTGGAGCTTCCCCACATAGCAGGGTGAGCCAGCACTTGCCCTCCAGCCCCCGCGGCAAGTCTCCAAGCTTTGGTGCCCCCCACAGGTCTGGAGCACAAGCACTGGCTCATGCCACTGAGCCTTGTTTCAGGTCAGGTCAAAGTAAACTGGGGGCCGGAACCAGCCTGTGGGCCATGTGCTCCCCTCCCCTTTTCCCCAATATATACGGTCCTCCCCGATATGTATGGAGGAAAGACTACAGCCTGAATGTTGGACACCAAGCAGTGTAGTTGGGCATGCAAAACCCTCAATTTCTTTTGTACACACCTGAAAGAAATTCTATGTATCTGAGTGCAGATTGGGTGGTTACTTTCACCCAACTGCTCACTTATTCATTTTTCCAAATGCAGATGTTATTAACAAGCTAATCTTTAACCTTGAAAGTACAATGTACTTCATTCGATTTTATTTATTTATTTTAGCTCCAGAAGTGTTCCAGGCTTTTATGGATGGAGGCCCAGGATATTCATACCCAGTAGACTGGTGGTCACTAGGAATTACAGCATATGAATTGCTGCGGGGTTGGGTAAGAGTGTTTGGTTTTCTTTAATGTATTGCCTGACAGTTGAAATGTTTGCAGTGTCTGTCTCCTTTTGCTTAACTTTCATTCCAAACTTTGGGCGAACACGACATGAGATTTGGGTTTCCAGTGTACCTTCCAACTAAAAGTAATTTCCTCATTTATATTTTGTTGTGAAGCTTTCTCCCAGCTCTAGTAATTATTTCATGTCAGTTCACAAAAAGGGGAGAGAAAATTGCATGGTATATTCAAATGAAACATTTTAAGGACCACTCCTGCAAGCTTTGCTAATGAAACTGTTTATGTAAATATGAGCAACAGGACTGAGTCCTCAATGCATGCGTATATCAAATTGGAAACAATTACAATTTGTCAATGGAGAAGTTCAGTATTATGGGATTTTATTATATCTTTGCTCTCTTGAGCAATACCTTAGAATGGTTAATATAATATGCCAACTCATTCGGACCAACCACAGGAGAGGCGTATCAGCCAGAGCGCTCATTACTTATTTAATCAATTATGTGAAAGAGCTTAATGAAAAATCTTCCAAAGCATGGTTGAGTTTCAAAGAAGATAATGAAAAATTCCATTCTGTTTTGTTCCCAAAGGAATAAAACACAACACTGTTCAATATTGAGTTAGCATTCCCCATGGGAGATAGCACTTTAAATAAAAGTGGCTTATGGTTTTCATTTTTCATTTTATATTTCATCCCTTTTTTGGAGGTGGGTAGGGGAGAGGAGGATTTTATAACTCCTTGCTGCATGATGGAATACCTTGTCTAGAGAAGTCATAGTTACTGCTTGTATTACAGGAACACCAAAAGGCCCCAACACCGATCAGCTCCCATGGTATAAACATGTGGTATCAAACAGAACCCTGACCTAAAATTTCAAATTCTAAGTAGAGCAAACAGGATAGCATGTAAATGTTTAGTCCAATGGTTACATATTGACAAAGCTTAACATAACCAAAAACAAAGTATTGTCATAAGTGTTGGCATCCCCAATAAAAGGCACTGCTACCAGTTCTGCTTTGGATAAAAAACCATGAAAGAACCCCATAGTGCTTTAACAGCAGTCTGTTGACAGATGGGGTACTCAGGAAGAGAAAATTGTGATGGAGTGCACAACAGAGGAATTCCAGCCCTGATTACAAAGAGCTGCCAATTACTTTAATAACTGAATAATTATGTAGATTAGGTAGGTATGTATTTGCCAAGCTCAGAACAATCTTCCCAGAATGAATTTCTCTGACAAAACATGGCTGGAATGGAAGCTGAGTTTCAAAACCATGTTAAAATAAAAACACCACCATCCCTCTGATGACCCAGGTAGGCATTTCTGTCTTACTGAGTTGGGTTTGTTGCTTGTGGAGCAGGCTGTCATGCTGGAGAAAGATTAGTCCATGGCCTTGTCTAAAGTAGGGGAATAGTGCTTGTTTTTCTAAATTGTAAGCCCTATTTTCTATTGTCTAGAGAAGGTCCAATCAGAGGAGCACAAAGCACAAGAGAGAAGGAGTAATAGGGGTAAGGAAAAGTACTCAACACCTATATATGTTCCTAGCCATTAAACACACAAGCTTCAGGCCCCCAGTGAGGAAGCAGGGCTTATACAGGACTGCAAGGTCATGCAGCCTGCCCAGTTATTTCCCTTATTCCCACATATGGCTCATTTCCATAGGAGCAAAGGAATTGCCATACTGGATCACAGCCATGGTCTTTCTAGTCATGGCTCTCTCAGTGGCTAGCACCACATGTTTCAGAGGTAGCTGCAGGAATCCCACAGGAAGCAGAACCACAAAACCATTAATGCAGGGGAAAAGAGAGGCTGAGAGAGGCATAAACTTGCTATCATGTGTCCAAATAATTTGCCAGTTAGATCGTATCTCACTCTGGAGCTGGTGATAAAATACGGGTACTATACAAAATGGTCTGATGGAGATCACGAGAAGTTAAGTAAAAAAAATTAATTGCTTTTTGGTGGTGTTGACTTTATGTTCTTGTTGACCTCCACCCTTGTTAGATGGATCTAACCTTGTGTGGGGGAAGGTTCATAAAACTCACAGCTGTTCTTGTTGTATGGTACTGCGCAACACCAGCCAGCCAAAACAGCATGTTATGAAAGCAGGGCTGTAGCTACCATAGCAGTTTGGAATTTATACTATACACTACTCAGTGCATGGTTCCCTTCCAGCATATCATAAAAACTCCCAAGAGAGAAGCCAAGAGAAAAAAAACTCCACTCACACTCCACTTGGGGCACTGGGGCATGCCCTGTTCTGGCCAGCCAGTGCAAGTGCTCTAGAACTTCTGGGGTAGATAAGACTGCATTATAACTCACAGGCTCGTCTTTGGATTTGGAGGTTTCATTTAAGGATGAGAATGGATAGGTCAGATATAGAGTAAGCACTGTGTGAAAAGTGGAAGTGGTGCTTTGGTTTTTTTGATTGTTTTTCCTGTATGAGCTCTTTTGAGAGCACAGTGATTGTCTGATTTCACACACAGTTGCTGTTAGGACATATAGCACGCTTGATGAGATATGTCATATGATGTGATAGGCATTTGTAGGACCCATGGATCTTGAAAGATGTGTTGTGAGGGAGGGGGTTGATCATTGCAACAATGAAGATATGTCTGTGGGTTTTGCTTCAGTTGTTCTGACAGGGTCTGGTACCGCTTTAAGTTAGCATGTCCTTGTGCATGGGTAGCTTGCTTCTGACAATGAGCTTGAAGAGGCTGAGGGGTTCTTCATAGGCCAGAAGAGAAGATTCAGAAACATTTTCTTTCAGGATGAGGTCCTCATTGAGCATGAGTAGATTGGTTTTATCTATCACAGGTCTCTAGGCAGACTTAATAGCTGTGGTATCTTCATAAAAGTCTGGCAGAGCTATGTGTGCTAGCAGATGCAGACTAGAGGTCAGTGTGTAAAAGTGTCAGAGAGGTAGCCATGTTAGTCTGTAACTGAAAAAAATAAAAACAATGAATGTCTTTCAGCATCTTAGAGACTAACAAAAATGTAGATGGTATCATGAACTTTCATGGGCACAATCCATCTGAAGAAGTGGGTTGTACCCGTGAAAGCCCATAATACTATTTTCTCTAAAGTGCTGCAGGTCAGTGTATAGTTCAAGCATCCACTAACAATATGAGGCCCACTGAATTCACCCACCTAACAAGCTGAATGTGGCAGCTCCACTTCCAGACCTCAGAACTGTATTCTGAGTGGAATAAACACCAGGCTAATGCAGCTGTATAAAAGACAATGGGCCTGCTCCCTGAAAGTTTCCCAATCGTTTTTATGTTAAGGCGGTACAGAAAGAGAGCTTCCATTTCAGGTAATCCAGTTCAGACTAGTATGTCTAGCTATGGTCAAGTTTTACTCCCAAATATATGACAGTTGGATGGAATGGCAATGGCTGTCTTTGGACACAAGTCAGAGCGGGTTGCTTAGCAAGGTGATTGTTTTGATGGAAAGTAGCTGCCATTGTCTTGATTTAATTGAGAATTAGTTTCCATTGCTGCAAGTAATTGGCCAAAGTGTCCTGTCCTGGCTAAAATTTCCTTTGATCCTGTAGAAGTCATTTCCAGCAACACAGATGGAATCAGCACATGCATACTTCTCTGCTTGGGTTTCAGGAAAGTTACATGAGTGTATATTGAACAAAAACAGAGCCAAAACTGACCTTTGTGGAAGGACCATTGTGGAGCAGTTTATGACAACTGACTTTCTCCCTGTCTGTCATAGTAGAGCTTTGGTTGCTAATCATTTCTTGGATGAACTGCACTATCATCTTACACGAAATCACTTTTAGCAGTGTGGCAGGCAGATTGATGGGCCACACACTGTTGTAGGCTACCATGAGATTAAATAAGGATTGCGCCAACTTTTTTTCCTGTCTCAAATGCAGCTTTTATGTCAGTGAGATGAAGTTTTTGGTCTTAGGTGCATTGTCCCCTCTGAATCCAGCCAAAATGTGAGGCAGTATGCCAAAATGTGAGACAGCTGATGCTCAACTGCCTCATTAATCTGCATCAAGGTTAGTCTTTCCATTGATTTTTAGAGACAAGGGGGTGAGGAAATGCTTTTTATTGGACCACCTTCTGTTGATGAAGGAGACACACGTTTGAGCTTTCACAGGAACTGAAGAAGAGCTGTGTCAGCTTAGAAGCTTGTCTCGTCAACTGAAGTCGGTCTAATAAAAGGTATTACTTCACCCACCTTGTCTCTAATATCTGCAACCAACATGGATACAAAGACTCTGCGTACAGCAATTTATAGGTACCACACAACACAGAAATTGCTGGTAGCTATTTGGCTCTGTCAGTGGTTTACTTTTGTTGGAAATGGAAACAACTCTGATGTTTGCTCGTCAGCAGCCTTTTGGAATGCTGCAATTCTAGATACAGCTAATCAGGAATTGAAGCAGCTAGCTTTTGGTGTTTTGTCCAAAATGAGAGATTAACTCTTTATTGACATTGTATATGCCAAAAGCCTTGTTAGGTTGCAGTTGTGTGTATCCATGTTCAGTTCTTGAGCAGAGAAAGGTGACATCAGGTTTGCATCTGACTAGGCACCTGCCATCTCTTATTAATTACAATTTTAACTGTGTGGCTGAAAACTTAGTCTTATTTAGGTGGTCTGCCACTGGCCACAACTGGGATTCAATGGAGTTTTCTGTAACTGGGCATTGTTTCTTGCTAAGACTGGAGTCTCTTGCTTTTAATAATTCATCAGGCTTTGTGATTGAATTGAGTGCTATTCAGTTTGGAAATAGTTTCTTTCCATTGCTCTTGCCTGGTTTGGTCTAGAAAGTGAAACAAGGTCTCTACATCTATCAACAAATTCCTATCCATTCTTGGCAGAGTTAATTTAATCTGATTATGCTGCTCCTGTAAACCCCAGGAATGCTCAAGTTAAAATATTATACCATGCTATGATAGGGTGGACTAGGCCCCAAAGCCCCTGCTGGAGGCTTGTGGCTTTGCTACACTGCACCCTAGGGGAAAAACAGTAGAGAAGTCTTCCTGGAGTGGTGGTGTCAGAGGCAGCCAATGAGATCCCAACAAGCCATTATAGAGAAAGCTGCTGGGCCAAAGCCAGCCAGTTCCTCTTTGGAGCACAAGGACTGCAGACTAGGTGACTGGCTGGCTGTGAGAGTAGCAGTACCATGGACAGCTCACTGTGGAGAATTTACTGCACACTGAACAGATGCCCAGGGTTGGCTATTGAAGACCAGGTATGCTGGTAGGAAGAGCTGCAGAACCCTGGATAAGGTGCTGCTGGGACTTTTGAGACAAATCACTGAGGTAAGGGCAAGAATGGTGCAGTGACATAGGGAAATGGCCCAGGGAATGAAAATAGCAATACAGCTGTAATGATTGGGACATATCACACAACTGCTATTTAGAGGATCCCTGAGCTGTGATCCAGAGTAGTGTGTGGGCTTGGGTCCCCCCAGCCATTCAGTAGATATTAGGGATGTTAAAAAGCATGGAATTTAGTAATTGTGTAATCAACACAAAAATTGTCAACTAGACAATTAATCAATAAGGGATAGCATGCAATCCTGACTCGCACCAGGTCCTGGGAGCTACCCTCACTGCAGCTCTGCAGAAAAAGTAATTTAGGAGCTGGGCAGGTAGGCATCCCAGCTCAGTCCTGAATCGTACTTCGTTTGGGACCTATCCCCACTCTCTGTACGCCTAGCTCCCAGAACATTTTGAATGCAGAGCAGTGGGGGGAGCTCCAAGGACCTGGTATGAGCCAGGACTGAGCTGTGCTGCCTCACCGCCTAATTACTTTCCCTGCAGAGCCACAGTTGGGGTAGCTCTGGGGACCCAGCACCAGCTGGGACTGAGCCACGTTGATGGCCAGCCCTCTAAAAATTTACTGGCAGGGGAGGGGAAGATACGTGTAGTCGATAACATTAACCGATAAGATTTTGCTTTTCAGTTAATTGTTTAATCGTCTATGCTATTACATCCCTTGTAGCTACTGTGGAGGAAAAAGAAGCCTGGTCCTAAGACAATCCAGAGGAGGGAGTTCTGGAACTCCACTCTGTCCTGGAGCAGAAGTAACAAAAGCATACAGGCACATAACCTCAGCTAAATGGAGGCATTCATGAGAAGAGGGTGAACAAGTTACACATCCTTACAACTCATAGAGTGTGATGACAATTAATAATAAGACTGGGTGGAGTGATAGTTTATGAAAAAACTAATACACTTAAAGAAAATGGTAAAAAGCTGTTTTTATAGTCTTATAAAGTTGTGTTCTCAACAGAGGTAGTGTACTCTAGTGAGCAGAACAGGAACTAGAGTCAATGTTTTTGGGCTATCCTTGACTTTGCCATTGACTTTAAGTGTCCACTGTGAAAATTAAATAATTGTGTGTGAAACCAGATTGTTGAGGGGAAATACTTATAAAATGCAAAACCATAATTCTCCCATTTTCCCTTCCCGGTGTTCTGCATAGAACAAATCACTAGTAACATGATTCTCAGAGGGACGAAGCAGCCCACTTCCCATTGAAAAACATGGGAGCTGCAAGTGCCTAGAATATCAAAAGAGACAGCCAAAAATACCATGAAGCTTGGATAGTTCAAATTAACCAAAAAACATCCATGGCAAATTTTTTGACAGTACTCTAAAATATGATTGAGGTTGAAGCAGTATAATAAGCTTAAAAAACAAATTGTTTTGTAAGATCAGCAGATGCAAGCGGAAGCATGACTGCAAACATGTCCAGTTACTGACCAAGCAAACAAACTTAATTTCATCATGTAACCATAAGAGGATGGGGAATATGGATGGTTTGAGATATATAAGATTTGGTTTTATATTTTGGCTCTGACACAGATTTGTCATATTATCTTTGTCAAGTCATTTAATATCTCTGTGCTTCTATTACTCATCAGCAAAATGAAGATATTGATTCTTCCTGTCTTTGTCTTGTCTATTTAGATTATCTATTACTAAGTGTAAGTACAGCACCGAGGCTAACGGTACCCTGATCTCTACTGTGGCCTCCAAGCTCATCTTCTGTTATTACTACTAAATAAATAAATAACCTACACATCACACAGACGTCTCCCAAGGACAAAAATATTCATAAATCTAGTTTTAACTGACCTTGAAAGACTTCCCACTGCTATAAATAATACAAAAGTTTCTTACAAAGGAAAAAAAACTAAAAAGATATAAACCACCATGTACAGTGTTTACATTCTTTATTACTAAAGAAATGAATACACAATCCACACGAGAAGTGTTAGTCTTGTCTTCTATGTTTAGAGAAATGTTGTTTTTCAGTGTAAACAATAGTGAGTAGGGAAAACAAGGATTTTGTTTGTTTGCTGTGTTTATAACCTTTGTTATTGATTTTACATTGATATTATTTTAACTTTACCATAGAGGCCCTATGAAATTCATTCAGCCACTCCAATTGATGAGATCCTTAACATGTTCAAGATAGAAAGAGTTCATTACTCATCCACATGGTGCAAGGGCATGATAGCATTGCTGAAAAAGGTAAGACAGTACAAGTGCTGTTTTCAGTCACCTCCTCCCCCAAGTCACCTCCAGGGTCTATCATACAAGCAAGATACAGCTCCTACAAGTGTCAGGTTGTTTAAATCTCATGGCTAGAGGGAAAGGTGCCTTTCCTTGGGCTTTTCTGAACAACAGAGATATGGCATTCTCTCTTCTGAAGTTGGCTTATTGTTCTCCTAGCAGTCTGAAAGAACAGTTAAATTTATCTTTTTAAATGACATTGCTATAAGGAATTTGAATGTTTCTGAAACAGCTCTAGAGGTGAAGGACATCTGCAGTTCCACAGATCAAGGAGTGACACCTCCTATGTTGCTGGATTCTTGCCTCCATCCTAGTTGGGGGCCTTACATTTTCCATTTACTTGCAGTCCTTAGCATCTCTGCTAAGATTGCCAGAAAAGTTACCTAGAAATTGAAGAACTGCCTCTCTGCTAGTGCTCCCAGAATTGCACAGCAAAAGTTATCTGAAGCCTCCTTGCTAGAAGTGGCTGGAAATCACAGGCTGGATGCCACAGGCTGGACATTCTCCATGAAATCCCATGACACTGGAACTAGCTTTCCTGTATCAGTCCACCTGAGCACAGATTCCTCCATCTCTCAGTTACATTGCAAGCTATGTCTTTGAGCAAGACTAGGGTTGCCAACTTTGTAGTCACAGAAAACTGAACACCCTGGCCCCACCCCGCCTCCTTGCCCCATCCTTCTCCAAGGCCCTGTCCCTGCTCACTCCATCCCCACTCTGTCACTTGCTCATTTTCACTGAGCTGACTCAGGGAGCTGGGCTGTGGGAGGGGGTGAGGTCTCTGGCTGGGGGTACAGGCTCTGAGGTTGGGGGGATTAGAGGATTGGGGTGCAGGAGAGATCTTAGGGCTGGATGGCCTAAGGGATTTGGAGTATGGGAGGAGGCTGCAGGCTGAGGCAGGGTGCATTGGAGTGTACCCTGAATGGGTTGTGGAGCCAGAGCTGTGGAGACTGGAGTGCAGGAGACAGCTGGGACTGAGGGATTTGGAGTGTGGGAGAAGGCTCTAGGCTGCAGCAAGGAACTTGGCAGTGGGAGGGGGTTCCCACTGGGGGTGCAGGCTCTGGGGTGAAGGATCTGGTATGCAGGAGTGGGATTTGACCTAAAAACAAGGGGACCAAGAGGGATCAGCGTGTGGGAGCAGGTTCCAAGCTGGGGAAGAGGGTTGAGACATGGGAGTGGTGCAGGGTGTGTGCTTCAGGAAGGAATTTGGGTGAGGGAAGGCACACAGGGCTTGGGCAGGGAGTTGGGTTCAGGGGTGTGGGCTCTGGGCAGCGTTTACCTTGAGTGGCTCCCTGAAAATGGTGATATGCCCCATAGCTCCTAGGAGTAGGCACAGTCAAACAGCTCTGTGCACTGCCTCCACAGCTCCTATTGCCCATGGTTCCTGTCCAATGGGAGCTGCAGAGCTGGCACTCAGGGCAGGGGCACTGATCAGAATCTCCCTAGCCATCCCTTCTCCAAGGAGACCAGAGACATGTCGCTGCTTCTGGAGAGCCAGGGAAGTCCATTCAGGACCCTGCCAGCCCTACCAACTGGACTTTTAACATCCTGGTCAGCACCAGAGTCCTTTTTTAACCAAGTGTTCTGGTCAGAAACCCTAAGCAAGAAGTGTTTTTAGATGTACCACTGGAATACGGATGGATAAACTACAGATTTCCATTTGACAGAATGAGCAGTCTGGCTTTTGTTATACGGAGCAATGAGATGGCGAATTTTCATGGACATCCGGGAACTCGCTGCAAAGATATGTTGTAATGAACTGAAAGTGTACACGGCTGATGGCAAGTAGTGCCAAATTATGATAGGAAGTTTCTTTTGTCATCACTTGGATTCTTGTCCACTAGTAAAGTGACTAGTGCTGCTAACTCTTTTCATATTCTATACTCCACTGAAAGGCTCACAGCCGGGAATTAGTTTACCTTAATGTTATCTGCAGTGTTGTTGTAGCCATGTTGGCCTGAGGATTTTAAGAAAAACAAGCTGTGTGAGGCAATATCTTATAATGGACCAGTTTCTGTTGGTGAGAGAGATGAACTTTCAAACTATACAGAGCTCTTCTGCCAGTCTGGGAAATGTATTCAGATGATCATGTAGATTAATTTTTTTTAAAAATACGGGGGCTGAAGTATGAGATGGTTCTCCAAGCTCTTGATGATTAAAAATACTATTGTCTACATTAGTAAGATGCATTTGCTCTTCTTGAAATCCTTATGGCTTAGTGTCTTAGAACATGTATTATTTTGATCACAGCTCCTCACTAAGGACCCTGAGTGCCGCCTTTCAAGTCTTGCAGACATTCAAAGCTCTCCATACTTAGCTGATATCAACTGGGATGCGGTCCTGGAGAAAGCTGAGACACCAGGCTTTGTTCCTAATGTGAGTCGATATTCAAGTTGAACTAAATTTGCAAATCCCTTATCTTGTCATCACAGTCATGTTAACGGTTCACTAATAGACATTTGCATTTCTTTCTCCAAGGGTGTTTCAGTGTTTTCCTTCAATGCACATGCCGAATTAAATTCTGCTCTCATGCACCCTGCTGTATAAGAGAATAAACTTTGCATTAGGTAATTAGGTAATTGATCAGTGGTTGGGGTGGACCTGTGCTCTGAGGTGGTACTGAGCACTCTGTCTCATGCACTCAGCTGGCTGGTTCTTGGTCACACACTCTAAAGCTAAGTCAGACTGATGACCATGTGTAGATTCAGGGAGGAATTTCCCCTCAGGTCAGATGAATAGTGACTTCAGGCATTTCTGCCTTCCTGTGCAGTGTGTGGATGTAGTTCACTTGCCAAGATTTTCTGGATATCTCTTATTTAATCATTCTCTGCCTGCCATTGCAGGCACCTCAGGGCGTAGTACATGTTGGTCCCTCCTGTTCACTCTCCATGGCACACAATATTTTAGTCTCCTGTGGGTCCAAATGCAGTGGTTGGATTTAGTGTGTGAGCGCTGGGTAGTGTCAGTGTCCTGTGATATACCGGAGGTCTGGGGTCTCTTCTGTGACAAAAAAATAATCATTAAACTTGGTTCACTTTATTTTCTTTCATACAAAAATGGTTCTAGGTCAGACTAAAGGGTAGCCAATTTTAGGTCTGATCCCACAAACACACATGCACTTAACTTCAAACACAGGAGCAGTTTAATGGAATTAGTGGACTGCTCACATGCTGAATGCTACACAAGTGCATAAGTTCTTGCAAGTCAGGACTTTTGCTTCTTATAACATCCTCATATTCTAATCCATTTTGGTATGGAAATATTCTATTCCAGATTCCTGAAGAACAGGGGACTGGACTGGATAACCTCTCGAGGTCCTACTTTTCTCAGTTTGATTTATTTTCTAAAAAACAGTTTTCCACTTTTGAAGAATTGAATTCTGTTTCTACAAATGATTCAGTGAATGAAGTCATTTGAGAAAATGAATAAAAAGCAGTGAATGATTTGCTAAAATGCTACTTGGACTTTATTCTGTCATAAAAATTCGATTAAAAGTTCTTGTGGAAAGCTCCCCAAAATGATATGTTTGTCGCAGATTTTTGGTTTGGTTCTTGGGTTTTTTCAAACCTAAAAAATATGGGCTAGTATCCAGTAACATAAAAACTCCCACTAACATCAAAGGGAGCATGATCAAATCCTAGAATACTTCAGGTCGATATCACATTGTATTGGTTAATCAGGCAAATGAGGCTAGGTGAATTACAGAGATAATGTTCTTGGCCTCTTTATGGAGAGGAGCTAGCTGTACTTCCTGGCATCTGATCCAGAGTGATTACTGGAAGCCACATACCTCATCCTTTCAGCAAAAGCTTACGGTGCATAGGCATTGCACAGCTTCTAGCAACAAGCTTAAAAGAGCAATAACAGTTGCAGCTGAAATAACACTGTCAAGCAAATTGCAAAGGGAGTGGGAGAAAAACAGCCCATCTAGCTGGTTTTAGGAAATGATGGATGAAATTTATTCTAAGAACACACTCGCAGAACCAAACCATTTTAACATTTCAGAGAGGTTAAAGTGACTGGGACTTTTCAGTTTAGAAAAGAGGAGCCTGAGGGGGGATATGATAGAGGTATATAAAATCATGAGTGGTGTGGAGAGGGCGGATAAAGAGAAGTTATTTATTAGTTCCTATAATAGAAGAACTAGAGGACAACAAATGAAATTAATGGGTAGCAGGTTTAAAACTAGTAAAATAAAGTTCTTCTTCACACAGCGTGTAGTCAACCTGTGGAACTCCTTGCCAGAGGAGGCTGTGAAGGCTAGGACTATAACAGAATTTAAAGAGAAGCTAGATAATTTCATGGAGGTTAGGTCCATAAAAGGCTATTAGCCAGGGGATAGAAATGGCCTCTGTTTGTCAGAGGCTGGAGAGGGATGGCAGGAGACAAATCGCTTGATCATTGTCTTTGGTCCACCCTCTCTGGGGCACCTGGTGCTGGCCACTGTTGGCAGACAGGCTACTGGGCTAGATGGATCTTTGGTCTGACCCAGTACAGCCGTTCTTATGTTCTTATGTAACTCCATGTGGATAAAGCAGAAGAGAGCTGGGAGGTGAACTCTATCTTCACTGAACCAAGGCCAGGGTGCAGGATACCTTGGCCATTCTATCTGTAGCTTCTACTTCAGCCTAGGAGCAAAGGTAATGGCCACACCACTCCACACCAGTTGTGCAGGGTACTGGATACATGGACCCTCCACTGACCAATACCTGGCTCCTCCCTGGCTCGGTCCCAAAGGCAGGGCAGCCGCATTGCCTCATTCAGGGCAATCACAGAAGCCATGTGTGTGGTACACAAGGAGAATACAGGCACCCCTCGCAGCCATACAGCTAGTGCCCTCAACTCTAGACACTGCTTGTGCAGGGCCAATTCCTCATACCAAGAGTGAATTCTTTTAACAAAAAGTTCATCTCAACTACTGAAAACCTAAAGGTTACCTCCATTTCTTATATACTATATTTCAATGCTGGAAAATACTTGTTCTCATAAACCAGTGTTACTTTTAAGTTACTGAGCCAAATTCAGCCCTAGTGTGAGCAGCACAACTCCACTGGCTTATATAAGGATGGAATTTGTACCGAGAAAGCAAGCTTATAGTAAATTTTGAGGAGGATCAGATGAATGCTGCGTCACCTTGAGAACATGCACTACCAACTACCATCGATGTGATTACCTTCACAGGTACAAGCTAATAGAAAAGGAAAGCAAAAGGAAATATTTAGATTTTTTACCTTGTATTTATTAATGCAAAACACATAATTCTATTTAATCACAATTGCTAAAACAATACACATAATCAGAGATTTCTTATTAGGGATTTGAAATCATCTGGGCATATAACACGAAGAACTGAAATCACCAATTGAGTTTATAATTATGGATAGAGTTGTGCCATTCCTCTCCCAAGCAAGTTACAGATCCTGAGTTTGTGGAAAATGTCATAGGTCTGTTGAGGTCAGCTTATGACTTTGGTGGAACCAGCGTTGTCCTTTATGTAGAATACGAGGCTGTATAGTGCACCCAAAAATTTGAGCCACTAATGTGTCTTAATGTCCACTAAGGATGTTAAGTAACAGTTAATTGACTAGTCATAATCAATGGAATTTCCCATCGACTATTCAACTGGTCAATAGGCACTTCTGCATTCCTCCTATGAAATGAGTGGGGGCTCTTGTACATATCAAAGGAGGAATGCGGAACTCCGCATGCAGCCCAGGGCCAGCGGGAAATGTCCCCACTGGGGACTCTTGTGCATTTCAAAGCGGCAGTGCAGCATTGAGCCTGGGATCAGCAGGAGACTCAGAGTCCCCTGCTGATCCTGGGCTCCACGCTGCACTGCTGATTTGAAATGCCACATGGAACCGGGGTCACCAGGGTCATCTGGGGACTCCCCAGGTGGTGCCAGGCTCTGCGCGGCATTTCAGCAGAACCCGGGATCAGCTGGGGACTCCTCAGCTGATCCTGGGTTCTACGGAAATGCTGCACTGGGCTCAGCTGTGTGGCGCTGCCACTTTGAAGCAACCTCCTTTCCCCTCTTTGCTGCCTCTATCTGACAGAGGCAGCAAGCGGGGGAACTGACTAGTTGACGGATTATCGCTAAACATTTGCTTATCGGATAGTCGACTAGTCCTTAACATTTCTAATGTCCATCCATCCACCTCTTCCTAACCCTGTTTTGTACCTCTGCTTCCTTTGGAGAGAATGTAGTTAACTTAAAAGTAAAAAAAGGCTGCCAGACCTATTAGCAGACACTGAACGTGTGAAAGCCATTCAAGTGGTAATGAAGCCATTTAACATGCATTTGCTGTTTAAAATTTGCTTTAAAATAATTCATTAGTGTGTTGTTGAAGATTATAAAATTATATCTCTACAAAATTGTCATCCCCCCAGGCTGACATTGGGCATAGGGACACCAGTTTAATAGTACTTTGTAGGACTCCATGAATCCTAAGGACGTCCCTCGGTGGAACAGTGACAAATGACATCAGCTGCATATGTGCCCTGATGTCTCTAATAAAACACTAAGGCTCCAGTCCCAAATACTTATGCATATGATTGTCTGCAGATGTATGTATTCCCATGGAACTCAAAGTTACTGCTGAACATATTACAAGTTGGATCTTCCTGGTCCAGCACCCTCAGGATCTGACCAGTCCAGAACAAGGGAATTTACCAGACCAGGGGAAGTCCCCTGCCACTGGAACCTGAGCCCTCCACTCCTTCCCACTTCCGGCTCCACTTTGGCTCTGGCTGGCCCCCTACTGCCAGCTCCCCTACCACCAGCCCCACCACTACCAGCCAGACTGCCAGCCACGACCTCAGCCCTGTTGCTGCCAGCTGCTGGTCTTGGTTCTGCTGCTCCCCCCAGTTGCTGCTGGCTGGGCTACCAGCTCTGGCCTCAGCCCTGGTCCCTCTGCGAAATGGCTCTGGTCCTAGGCAGTCTGTTGAGTGACATCCTAGCTCCTGCTGCGGCTATCTCTCCTGTGACTAGGCTCTTGGTCCAGGGCTCTCTGATCTAGGAACATCCATGGTCCTGCCAGACCACAGATGTTGCTGGAACAGAGAGTCCTAGTTTTGGGAAGTTCAGCCTGTAGAATCAAGGCCAACATTTTGTACCAAAACACTTTCGGTGCCTAAAAATTTCTCGCACCTAGGTTTGAAAATTTTATCCCTACTACTTTTTTTATTGCACACAGTTCTTCACTTCTTTTTAACTTGTTTAGTGTATTTTGACAAATTTTAGGTTTGGAGGTTGGGGGAGGGTTTCCTCCTAAATTCAAATCTTTTTAGAGAACCTTATCCATATTATTTTCAGGAGAGTCAAGACATGTTTGCAAACCTTATGTTGCAGAAAAAATGGTATTTAAAAGTAATTT